GAGCCCGATGCGGGACTCGATCCCGGGACTCCAGGATCATGACCTGAGCCGAAGGCAGTCGCCCAACCAACTGAGCCACCCAGGCGCCCGAAAACTAGTGTTCATTGAGTGTCTCACCAGTGGGTCCATGGGAGTCAGAAGAGGCTGGAGATGAGATGAAATACTACATCTACCCCTCTTCCTTAAACTTGTGGCCTAGTTACGGAAGCAAGCCCGTCATAAAATTGGTTACTCACCATGAATGACTCTGTTTGCTATAGAGACCAGGGATGTAATACCTAGTGTCTGAGGAGCCTGAGGTGTTGGACCATCTCAGCATTGCATGAGTTCAGTGTGAATGTTTAAACTGTGTCTTTGTTTTGGTGATAATCTGCAAAATACATATTTTTTTCAGTTACAAATACAAGCCTTCTCATTTGCAGCGATAATTTGTATTTAAAGTACGTTTTCATAACCTAAAACTTATTTTCTTAAGTTAATGGAATTCAAGCAAGAGTGTGAGATCAAGGATGAGCATGATTCATTTAGGGTGCCTGGGACTTGAAGGATACTCCAGTTTCAGGTTTTAAATGCTGCCTCCTGACCCTGAGATGGCAGTAGTTTGGGGAACCCTCTTTTCTCTGTTTCCTCAATTACCTGCCTTTTCTGATGGGTGCATGAGCTTTATGAAATCTTTCTTGAGAAGGTAACTCTCAGAGCCCCCTTTAAAGAGTCATCTTCTGACCCTCATGTTACTGATCAGTGTCTAATGTGAAACTCTCTGTGTGTGCCAGAATGTGAATTTTCTCTCTGCAGGACTTGACTTCTGAGCAGTTAATGATTCTAGCAGAGACATCCAAAGGAGGGTGCATTGCATCACCACATTGGGTGTTTGCGTGGTACTCAGGAAGCAGGTGGTCCACCAAGGACTGGAACACTAAAGGGAAATTGTCTCTTTTATGGACGAACCTCACCTGTACTTTGTTAGAGATTTGTTCTTCTCAAATATCATCCATGGCCTCTTGAGTTATTTTTCTTTTGTACAAAAAGCATCCCAGATCAGTGTTCTTTTTTTTTTTTTAATATTTTATTTATTTATTTGAGAGAGAGAGAGAGAGAAAGCACAAGCAGGGGGTGCAGCGGAGGGAGAGAGTGAAGCAGGCTCCTCGTTGAGCAGGGAGCCTGATGCGGGGCTCGATTCCAGGACCCTGGGATCATGACCTGAGCCGAAGGCAGACGCTCAACCGACTGAGCCACCCAGGTGCCCCCCAGATCAGTGTTCTTTATGGTTCTTCATTTTGCAGTAGTTTTACCAGATTTGTTACTAAAACAGAGTTTGTGCTTGTTAATTACATCAGGTCGGACTGCAAGGCTATTTGTTCAGATGTAGGCTGACAAGTCCTTGCTCTTTTTCAATCATCTTTGCTAAGTAAGATTTTCTCTTTTTTCCTTTACAGATTCCAACAAGATCATCGCGGAGCATTGCCACACGCAGAAGCAGCTCGATTTACAGAATGGTAGCTTAGAGGCAAGCTTGGTGGCAAATTCCCTTGAGGACGATTCCCCAAACATGATGGAGAGCCTGAGCCCGAAGAAATATTCTTCCAGCCTGAGATTTAAAGCCAATGGAGACTATTCTGGCTCTTATTTAACCCTCTCACAACCTGTGGCTGCTAAGAGAAGCCCTTCCCCTCTGGGAACCAGTGTCAGGAGCAGCCCCTCCCTGGCCAAAATCCAGGGAAGCAAGCAGTTCTCCTGCGATGGGACTGACAAAAATATTTCCATGAAACCGCCCACCCCTCTACTCAGCACTTCCCCCTCCCTCAGTGGGTACCCACTTGGGAGAGGGGACTTCGATCATTATATTGGCCGGGACAGTGAAAGGTCCTTGAGGCTCGCAGAGAAGCCTCCCTACTCCAAATATAGCTCAAGGAATAAATCCCACGACAATGTCTACTTTCTCGGGGGGCTGGAAGGCCGGAAGGTGTCCGGCTCGCTCCTGACCATGTGGAACGGAAGTCCCCTGAGTGACACGGGCCCCTCTCCCATCAGCAGATCGGGGGCAGCAAGCATGCCTTCAAGCCCAAAGCAAGCCAGGAAAATGAGCATCCAGGACAACCTGACCCTTCAGCCCAAGTTGAGCCAACACAAGGAGCCGGCATCTGAAAACATGGGTTTAAGAACTAGGAAGTATTCGGGCAGCAGCCTGAGTCACATGGGAGCCTACAGCCGCTCTCTCCCCAGGTTACACAGGGCCACCGACAACCAGCTGACACCCCTCAGTTTGCCTCCCAGAAACTCTCTGGGCAGTTCCAAACGAACAAAACTGGGGGAAAAGGATCTACCTCATAGCATCATAGACAATGACAATTACCTGAATTTTTCTTCTTTGAGCTCAGGGGCTTTACCCTATAAACCCTCAGCGTCTGAGGGCCATCCTTACGTCAGTTCCACCCTCAGTGTCCCTGCCAGTCCGCGAGTGGCTCGCAAGATGCTTCTGGCCTCCACCTCCTCCTGTACCTCCGATGACCTTGACAGGGCTTCCTACTCTGGGCCTGGCCCAGGTCACTCATTTCCTCCCGGGGAGCCGGACAGAGTGTTTGCCGCCAGGAGGAACTTCTCTTGTGGATCTGTCGAGTTTGATGATGCAGATTTGGACAGCCTCAGACAGGCCTCAGGAACTCCCCAGCCCATCCTTCGGGAAAGGAAAAGCAGCATCAGCTCCATTTCAGGCCGCGATGACCTGATGGATTATCACCGGCGGCAGAGGGAGGAGAGACTCAGGGAGCAGGAGATGGAGCGACTGGTAATCTTCTTCATCTGACTTGACCTCACTCTTCCCTTGAGCAGCTTCTTGGAGACGCACTCCAAGGATATGTGTGGGCCTGTAGGATGTCCAAGGGCACCAGCCACTGCTGTGCCTTTCTAGAATTCTGCTGTCCTTCCCTTTCTCGTGCCCTATTATTGGTCACGTGTGGGTACTTGAAGGCCTACCTGTAGCTAGTGTTATGTTAAGTTGCTCTGCAGCGTCTTCTTGATAAACCTAACCAAGTAGTTGTGAATTTTACTGAATTTCTTATAAGTCTTACAAACTTTTCTTTAAGACTGTGAGTAAACACTGATTTATATTACCGATGCCATCAAATGAGCATGTGCGCGGTCTGATAGGAATAATCGGTGAAATCATGACTCACTGGGAATTAGGCAGTAAACTTTTTGGTAGAGCAAGTGGTCTGGAAAGTTGAAAGGTCGGCTAAATGTTGCTCAACCTTTTTCCTGCAAGGTACACATACACCACCCCCATACGCCTTTCAGTGATGTCTCCTAGTACATAGTGACACCCAACTACACATTCAGAAAAGTTTTTTGAGTTGTCTTTTTCTATTGAAAATGGATTTATGCTTATTGTGGGAAATACTGAAAATAGTAAGAAAGGAGGAAACATCTCTTGAGAGTCCCACTAAGGAATGAGGACAAACTACTGCATTCTTATTCTTTTTTTCTTTTAAGCATAGACTTTTTTGTCCATGTGTTTTTTAGGAAGAACAGGGTCAGAGATTATTTTAATTCATTAATGGTGAGTTGTTCCTTGATGAGGGATGCAGCAAGATGATAAAGCTGATCTACAAAAGTATAAGAGTATCAAAAGTATTTTCATTGCTAAAAGAAAGTATACTGGAATAAGATTTCTGAATCACATACCAAGCTGGTAATGCCCCACAGGATAATAAAATTGTAACCTTTGGATTCAAATGGACAGAAACCGTTTGCATCTATCCAGGACAAAATTTGATTGGAGTTTTAGAAACAGCATCATTTGCATCACTAGTAATTTTTGATAAGTAAATATCTATCCTGACAGATATCCTAATCAGTAATAGTGAATGAAAACGAATGTGCATACTCTTAGAGAATTCTATATTCCTTGGGTGGGTCTGTTAGATGGTGCTCCAGTATGACAATTTCCTTTGTTATCGTAAATAATCTCCAGAGATTTTTCATGGTCACAAAAAGGTATTGTATTTGGGCTTGATCGATTGACATAAGTGCAGGAGAAGTTTTAATTAGCATATGAAAAAGCTTTCTTGTATGTGGGATAGCAAATCTGGCTCCATAGTGTGCTGCACAACTCTTACTTTTTTTATTATAGTATAATTGACACAGTGTTACATGAGGTACGTTAGTTTCAGGCATACAACATAGTGATTCTGCATATCTATACCTTAGGCTATGCTCACTGCGAGCGTGGCTCCCATCTGTCACCTTACAACTACTGACTATATCCCCTATGCTGTACCGTTCATCCTGGAGCAACTATTATTAGTGAAGCCAGAAAGTTAACCTCTATTGGATAATTTATTAAGGAATCTAGGAGAGCATTTCAATGGCTTCCTTCACTCGTCAGTGATCTTCCTGAGATGCTATTATTTCCTCTTCTGTTCCAAGGGCAGGAAACCAACCTCGAAAATCACCTCCAGGTTTCATCTTTAGCACTTTTAAGTGTGGTGAATTTCTCATTCCTCCAGTTTCCCCAAATCTGCTAAAGTTCCCGACAATCCAGGAAGTGACCTTCCTTACTGCCTGTAAAGTCAGCGCCTTGTAAGTCACAAACAGGTCTTGGTTCAACTTCTTGGGAGAACTTTGTGGGTATTGGCTCCAAATATGAAGTTAGAACCCTTTTTTGCTTCATGATGGACTTTATGATATTCGATGAAATGAGGCTTATGTTTAAGTATGACGCTCTGGGTTTGGCCTCTGTTGCTTAGTCTATTTGCCTAGTGACCTCCCAGTAAAAGGGAAGATAGATTCTTACTGAGCCCTATGCAAGTAATGTTTTTGCATTTAAAAAATACAGTGACTTAGAAAAAATATTTCTTCCTGAATTCTGAGGGACCAAGGAGAACAAGCTACCCTTGAAAGAATGTTTCATTTAGTTTGCAAAATCAGAGTCAGCTAAATTGAGGGTTAGAGATAGATGGAGACGAATGCTAAAGGTGTTCCCCATTTAGACAGTGGAACATTACACATAATGCCAATGATTTTCCACAATACATACGGAAATTAGATTTCCAGTATCAGTTCGATGAGTTCTGTATAATTCTTATTCCTTTGCATCTTGGGTCATTAATTTGATTTCACGAAGTCATCTATTTGTGGACTAAAAGAAGTCCTCAGAATCTGATTTAGCCACCTCATACTGTCTCATGCTTGCCTATGCGGTGGCACCTCAGAAGCCTCTACTCACAAGATTGAAGAAAGAGTATCTGGTAAAGTTGTTTCCACCAGGCCCTGAGACTCTTTCTTTGTTAAAGGCATATTGTGGTCTATAACTTACAGCAGGATGTCTAGGCAAACCTGAGAGGAAAGCAGAGACCTCTTGGTGAGGATAAGAGTAAGTGGCTGTGATTAATTTGTGGTTAAGTTCATGAGCAGTAATCAGCAAGAAGGAGAGTTAAAATCCTCTGTCAGGGCGTGGGACATTGGTCTTATTTAATCAGTGTTTCCCCGGAGGGTAAGAACGTTTCACAGAGAGTGAGGACATTTCACATACCCAGGACCTTTGTGTAAAGTACACCATCTCTGGACTTTATTTATATTATAATATTTTACCCATACAAAATTAGCCTAGGGAAGGCTGAGCTTCTCATTTGATTTGATAAATCTTCCTATGCAATTTTTGATGGTGTTGAGCTATTCATAAATAAGGGCATAGCAAACCTAATTATTTCTGACATTCTTCTTTTTGTAAAGTTAAGGAACAAATCTTGTGCTTGCCCAGGTGTCAAATGGGAAAACTTAAGGATAGTTCAGATATAAAAGATATCTTGGAAAACTTTTTTTTTTTTTCTGAATTTAGGGTCCGATTTTGGGAAGGCAAAATCAAATATTAATTAGAGAAGATTTCATTACGTGACTAATATAGGATTGTGGATGCATGAGAACAATGAATATTTGCAGTTTGCCTACTGAATAAAGCAACAATAGATTATTTTATAATCTACAAGATATCTTAAATCATTAGGAAATGAAGAACTTTTATGTCATTTTAAATATTCAGGAAGGGGCACCTGGGTGGCTCAGTCGTTAGGCGTCTGCCTTCTGCTCAGGTCATGATCCCAGGGTCCTGGGATTGAGCCCCACATTGGGCTCCCTGCTCAGTGGGAAGCCTGCTTCTCCCTCTCCCACTCCTCCTGCTTGTGTTCCCTCTCTTGCTGTGTCTGTCTCTGTCAAATAAATAAATAAAATCTTTAAAAATAAATAAATAAAATATTCAGGGATATAGTCCAGTTAGTACAAAGCACAAAAAAAGTACTCTTGTGAGATACCGAATCTCTCTGCTCTCTGGGCAGATTATGTAGAAAAATAACCTTTATTACTTTTTATAAGCATAGGCTGATTTCTCCAAGATCAATCTGTCATTTCAATATAGGTAACTGCATTTTAGTTTTATTATAATAGGGTATTTGTCATGCATTTTTTTTTAAAGATTTTATTTATTTATTTGAGAGAGAGAGAGACAGAGAAAGGCAGAGAGAGAGAATGAGCAGGGGAAGGAGCAGAGGCAGGGGGAGAAGCAGACTCTCCACTGAGCAGGGAGCCCGATGTGGGACTCGATCTTGGGACTCCAGGATCATGACCTGAGCTGAAGGCAGACACTTAACTGACTGAGCCACCCAGGTGCCCCCATGCATTACATTTTTTAAAATTACTTTATGAATAAACCCATCAAAGTTGTGCAAACTTTGCCATAATTTTAACATTTTATTACATTTTTATAGACTTGCTATTGCAAGTATTATAAACCAAGTCAAATAAAGCTCCCTTTGGGCAAACCTACAATTCTAAAATTTTCACCAACTTTTGTTCTTCATGGTCTTCTGTCAATTCTGGAATGACCGGATACTTTAAGGCAAAAAGTATGTAACTTAAAGATATTGGAAATTATACTTAAACTGACACATCACAGAACATAATTACTATGGATATAAAAAGGTGTGTCACAGTTATAATTCAGTTTTGTTTTGAGCACAACTTTTGTATTTTTCTTAACCTTAAACATTATATGGAAGTGATCTTAGCTTATCTTTCAGTGAACTAATATTATAAGACATTTAAAAAATTCAGATAAACTAATTCCTTTGTGATAAAAATAAATCCAAACTTATTTAAGTATGAAATTACAGGAGCACCTGGGTGCCTCAGTTGGTTGAGCATCTGACTCTTGGTTTCAGCTCAGGTCATGATCTCAGTCCTGGGATCCAGCCATGCACTGGGCTCTGTGTTCAGCATGGAGTCTGCTTGGGATTGTCTCCCTCTCCCTCTGTCCCTCCCCCACTCATGCTCTCTCTTTCTCTTTCTCTTAAATGAATAACTCTCTCAAAAAAAGTAGGAAATTACACATGTATTTTACTGTACACAAATAAAACAAGGAAAAAACATATAGCTGATTTTTAAACCAGGTTGTCAAATCAGTCTGACTTGTACAAGAGATTGCTTTGATCATGTAAACTTGTTTTCTAAGAAAAAAACTCCTTCTGAAATCAGCATTTTTTGATGAGAAGGTTCTTTTTCTTAAAATGTGAATATATTTTAATTATTAGACTTCCATTTTATTTTCTTAGAATTTTGGAAATGTTAGATTTATCTAAATGCTTATTAGTCTCTAAAGCAATTTATTATTATCCCCAGGAAGTAGGAAAATACTTCACACATACACAGTGATTTTTTGCCCCCCCTCAGGTACACAGACTCAGATAAAGAACTTAAAGCTTGGTTCTATAGCTTTAGCTAGAGGTCAAAAGTAAACACTGGAACATAAAATTTCCCTGTTCCATATCTCAAGAGACTGCTCACTTTTCCACTGGGCACAAAATATTGTCCTGAGTTGAACTCACAGATAGCAAAATAACCAACAAATTAAAACAACAGCAAACACAAAGGTTCAGTCATCACTCACAGGAGCAAGGTTAAATTTCAGTTCTACCTGCAGATCACAAGTGGCCAGACCATAAAACCAGATCCCCACT